TAACGAATCATTCTAAAAAAATATGATCACCTCAAGTTAGTACAAACAACTTTCAGGGAAATCCAACAGCATCATAAACCAACAGTTTAACATTATAAGCTCAGTGAATGGAGGATTTATTGCAGTGCAGCATTTTAGTCAGGTGGACTTATAAACCTGAAACTGAGTATATTTGACCTGAACTAACCACTGAGCTCTGATGAAGACAAATCAGCCCTCAGCATGCAACTCAGGCTCAAGTCATTACATAAGACCAGTTTTATAGGCTGACTTTCTTTTGATTTTTCCTGATTTCTGAAACATTTCTTTTTCTTGTCCTGTTTTATTCAGTTGGGAAAGGCTTCTGTAAAAAGTTTAGTATTAGAGAATTAGTAGAAGTAGCCAAAGTGAAAGTGAGAATCAGAGTTGTGTTGACTGCTGGCATTACAGTCACATGACGCATCACAGCCACTCTGGATAAGGTAATAGCATATAATACACACATTCAGGTACATGTATGTAATGTAGGGCCTACTGACTGACATTACAAATGTGTTTACATTGTGAGATTAAAACAAATGTTCCAATAACAACTGTGGATATTAATGGAGGGAGAATGCTGCAACCTGCAGTCGACGGATTCCTTTAGTCTCACCTTTTTGTATTTCATTATGGACCCAGTGAGCTACAAGACATTGAAGAGAGCACTGTTTGTATACAGCGTGTAATGTACGTGTCTGTTTGTATACGTATGTGTGTCAATACACAGTACCAGTCTAACAGGACTGGTGTGTATCGCTGCTCTATAAAGTGCTTTTCTCCACCACTGTGTCCTCAATGTGTGCTGATAAAATCTCACAACAAGAGAAACTTGGCACGCTGAATGAAGAGTTAAGTATTTGGACACAACAGCCCCACTTTAGTTATTACTCACTTAATCCTATAATTGGTTTTCTTTGAACAAAACACCTCAAACTTAAAACCAAAGAAGAGAGCGATGACCACATTAATAAGCACTGCTGCCCTGTGTGACACATACACATTAATACAGAAATCACTGTCGTTACAACAGAAAACAATTAACAGGCAGCGTTCCCAGTGCAAACACGGACGGGTGTAACTAAACACACCGAACACCAATCACAATGTGAGTCTGAAGATTAAAGAGAAACCCGCCAGCTGTGGATGACACAGACCAGGAAGCTCTTCACATAATATTTGCCCAAACTGTTTTCTGATATAACAATTCAGTTTACAGTAAATTCATAAAACAAGAAGCTGTACGTGATGGTGTGAAGCAGCAGCTGGAGGCAAAGGTTAACTCACATATTGGATGATGTTCGATTATCAGCCTGTAGTGTTAGCTTCATTGACTAATAATTGGAGCCATAGTTTTTTGCACTGATGAAAATTAGACGATAACTAGATGACAAAAACAATGACTAAATCTATTGACATTTATGCAGACAAAATAAAAAATAAACAAAACTGTGGGAGGGACGAGATGGGAAGAGATCCAATCACACAACAATCAGAAAGGAAAGCAAGAAAATGAGCTGGGATATTCTAGTTAAACAATAATCTATTACACTTATTGTAGATTTAGACTTTAGAACACCGCTCTGTAGTGCTCTCTGCCGTCCTGCTGTCTCAACAAGAAAAAAAAACCTTAATGGCTGTCTAAGAATTTAAAAGACCTCCTCTAACCTACAGAACTTGGAGTCCTGTGGAACCAAACAGACGTCCACTCTGTAGAGATATTCAGCTTTGGTTCAGCAGCAGAGAGAAGATGTTGAATGTAGTGTTGTATTGGATTCATTACTTCTTATCAGTTAAATATTAATCAGGTCTGACATGGCATGTGTCCACTTTATTTTTCATTGTTTTATAGAAATAACCGTTGAGGTTTTGTTTGGGGAAAATGTGCAACAAGTAAGAGGTAAAGGGTTATATCAGTTTAAGCATTATATTAGACACTTAAAGACGGTATAAGATGTTAGTGCTCCTACTACTATCCAAAGTGGATAGTTCAGAGGCCTAAAAGCAATGAGACAGTGATACAAACATGTAATCTTGTATATTTACTTTCATTCTGCCAGAGAGGAGCTTTTATGTGACGTAGAGATGTCTTCGTTTGATATATTATATATTGACTCAACACAGTTCTGTGTAAATACACAGCAGGTTTGAGCTCATCTCGACCGAATCACGCCCTGCCCTAGTTCTTAAGAGAAGAGAAGAGAAGAGGTACTGTGCTGTATATTAAAGGTGAACATTGGGCTAACAGCTATCCCTCTCTTTCTTCCCCCCAGTTACCCTGCAGGCCTTTGTTTGTGTTTATTATATCTCTATGTCATTTCTTTCAGACACACCCATCTGCATTTGTTCATGTATTGAAAAATGATTGTCCAGAGGCCAAAAACTGAGGTAGCATAAAATACCAGGGAATAAAACCACAGGTTCACATCTGACGGTTCACGTCAACAGCTTTAACTGAAGCCTCCAACACTCGTTTACCTGCAGGATTAAATATTCTACAGGATATTTTATTACATAGTTCACAGTAAATGTGACTGTATTAGTGTATTAGTACTTTATATGAGTCCTGGGGTTTGTTTTTTATAGTAACTTAAACTCCTTAGATCCATTTTGTGCAACTTTCTACTTGTCTGTACTCGTGTGTCTCGAACCAAAAAAGCAAAGGTACTTTTACACCACTGCAGGTACATGTAATAAACTCATAAACCATTATGTATTATCATAAATTAAACTATCCAACAGCAGAAAGAAGTACTCAGATCTATTACTTAAGTACAAGTAGAAATACCACTCTATACTAATATACTCTATACTCTAAGTAAAACTCCTGCATTGACAGTTTTACTTATTAAAAGTACAAAAGTATATAAAAACATATATAACTGTTATTAGAGGAGATAATCTTAACTATCTTGTATCATATTTCATAAGTGGATTATATGTTTTATTTGTAATAACAGCTGTCAAATAAAGTGGACTAAAAGCAGAATATAACCCTCTGAAATGTGGAGTACAAGTACCTCAAGATTGTGTTTAAGCACAGTACTCGAGTTAATACACTAGTTGTGCTGTAGATAGTTCACATGAACTCCACCTGGACCAGGAACATGTAAATGCTGTCTGCACCTGAATGCATCAACATAGCTCTCAGATGATCCATGCAAATAAAAAGGCCTGAATAATGGCACTGTAGCCTGCACACTGTTAGTAATAATATTAATACTAATATCAATATATTTCAGGAGGAAGAGTTTCCATCTTTCCTTTTTACCTTTGGTCTTTTCCATTTCACACTGCTGTTCATCTCCAGCTCTCCCAGGGGAAAGTGGTTGTCCACGAACAGTCCGTCCCGGCCGGCCGTGTTCACGTCCCCGCTCTCCGGAGACATGTCCCCGGTCAGGAGGTCCGCCAGCCAGCGGCGGGACTGAGAGCCCAGCAGCTCATCCGAGCAGACCGAGTCCACATCATCGTCCGGCGGAGGCAGGGAGCTCTCAGACGACACACTCAGCGACTTTATCATGCTCAACCCGGTGTGTGCTGCTTGTTCAGCACTTTGTGAACTGAGCTTCCGACTCTGTGTGACTTTCACCTGAGCAGGTAACAACGCACACAAGCCACGCCCTCTTGGAAAAGCACACAGGTAGATGCTCACCTGGTTCACTGCTGCGGGGTTTCAGCTCTCTGACACACCCAGGTGGTTTCTGGACTTTCCACACTGAAGAAAGGTTGTTCCAGTGAATGCCAAAGAACCCAGAACCAGCACACAGTCATATCCGGGGCCCTCACACAAGCTGTCCTCTCCCAAACATTCACCACAAGTCCCCAAAACTCAGAGACCCTCACAGTCCCCTTTCTGAGAGAGACAGGAAGAGTTGAGAGAGAGACAGGTATTTGTTTCTGGCTCATTAGATGAAAACATAAATGGAGCAGGCAGATATGGGAGTGGTTATCATCCCCTCATTCAACTCTCTGCCACAATCCTTAAAGTTACAGTTAATGCTCATTGTTTATTGTGTGTAAATGTATTAATTTAAATAATGTGAAACATTATGTTATATTATGTCTAAATAAAACAATTAGTCAGTCAGATTTCTCCCAGAAATAACTGATAATGTGTACCACAGTCAAACATAATCCAATCTAATAAAAAGCCTATGAACTGAATCATTGTGAAGCTTTTAATATTCAGTTGATTCAAACCTGAGCTCATTTCTGAAGTAATAATCAGTGCTGGGCAGTAACTGTAACTAGCAGTGTAACTAATTACAAATTAAGTTTGGTAATAACATTACAGTTCTTAGTTATTAGTAATTAGTTACAATCTTACTTTTGTTGTCACTCCTAATGATCTGAAATCCAACAATCCAATTACATCCTTAATACTGACACTATAACTACTGCTACTTGTACTGCTACTGGTGTTACCACTCATTGTACTTCTGGTAGCCACAGCACGGCTACTATTACTACTATTACTACTATTACTACTGCTACTTTTACTATTCCTATTACTACTACTACGGGTACTGGTACTACTTTTTGTAATCGTGCATGTCATGAAGCAGGGAACTAGTGTGGAGATGGAAATATTCCCATTAAAATTTGATTTTAACAAACAAAACTTGTGTATCTAATATAACTAGTAGTGTAACTAATTACTGTTGGCAGAGAGTAATAAGTAACACTGGACGTTGTCAGCAGCAAAATCAGTTTCATCAACATTTTATTGGAGCACATGTGAAATCAATTACACACATTTGACCTGCAGGAAAACACAGAACAACCACAGACATGATGACTAATGAGCAGCTTTAAGCCTGGCTGCCCCGATTCATTCATTCAGGTTTTCATTTTACCACAAGGACAAACAGGTATGATTTGTGGGAAGAACTGACACACACTTCCACTGCCAGGAGTTAAACTGTGTGGACATAACAGCAGATAAAGTCCAGGAAGCAGAATGAAGAAGCAAACAGACACAGGCTGGATAAATTATTTTTATTGAGAAAAACTGAGATTATGAAAACAAATGACCTGATTCAATCTGTCACGTCTGATGTGAGTGTGTTTGTGTCTGTGTGTGTGTGTGTGTGTGTGTTTGCATCACTGAGATGTGGCCATGATGCTGGATACACCTGTAAAAAGAAAAACAGGAAGAGATGTGTGAGAAAACAGGGAATATTCAGCTTTAACGTCCAGAAACAAATAAAACACTCAGTGAGAAATGAGACAGGTTTCTGTGCAGCACTCACTCTCGAAGTCGATCTTTTCCACGATGTTCTTGGGCTTGACGCTCTCCTCCTGGTTGAAGATAAAGATCTGTCCTTCCTCATTCTCCGTCCAGGCGTACTTATTCATCCAGACCTTCACCTGCGTGTCTGAAAGTAAAACAAAAGTTCTGATTAGTGAAGCTTAAAAAGCTAAATCAGATATTTTCTAGAGGATAACTTGTTGTCTAAGTTTCCAGACGCGGGTCAAAGTTCTTACCCAGCGGGTCTCCCAGCATCTCAGCCAGTAACCGGTGCTCGATGGTCTGGTAGGTGATGCCCACTACGTGGCAGATGACTGGAGAGAAGGAGACAGTGAACAACAGACAGTGCTCATAATGTTGGTAATGTAAGATGGGTGTGGTTGTTTCCGGTTATTTTCCACAGACTGAGTGTCTGTGGGGAGTCAGAAGACGATACTCACACTTGCGAACGGAGTCCTCGAAACCAGTAATGCCGTCAATAAGCTCTCTGTTCTCCTCGAGACTCGTCTGTCAGGAACAAAGAAGAGGACGAAATCACAGAGTGAGCAAACACTTTGGCCAGTTTGGAAACAGAGGAAGAAAAAAAGGTTTCGGAACAACAAGGATTTCCCAACCAGGAAATGAGGAACGTAGTGAGGCAATCAGCAGGAATTTAATGATGGATTAGTCAGCAATATGAAACAGGCAGCTGTGTGTGTGTGTGTGTGTGCATGTGTGCGTGCCTGCGTGCGTGTGTGTTTTTGTATGTACAAATGTGTGTCTGTGTGTGCGGTGGCACGCGTGCACAACTTCTTGGGTGTGACTGCATGGATGTTTTGTCAGATGTCAGCCTCACAGCCTTAAAGCCAAA